AGTCCTTGTTTTTATTACAATATTTATTTTAACGAAGTTAATTGTAGTTCTGACTGAGAAATAATGTCGCTTAATTTGTTGTCTCTACATTTGTTTTATAAAAAATCAACATTGAAAAAATTGCGATTGGTGCATTTACTTTTATTAAAATATATATTTTTTAAATATTAATTTATGTAATACGAAATGTCGGATTTTTAATCATTCGAAATTTAAGGGTTCAAATGGTTGATTGAGTTTTGGAAATTATGTATCTAAAAGCTTCTAATTTCTTATCAACTTTTATTCTTTTTTCATTTTTGGATACTTATAACTTTTATGTAACAGTAGTTCGTATAAAAAGATCAGACTTATTTCTTTGGTCGACATCATTGTGAATTTTTGTAAAAATTATATATATCCAAAAATTAAAAAAAAGATGATAATTGATAATAAAAATAATATATATTGATAATAAAATAAAGCCCTATAGGCTTTAAGGTTATGCATATAAAAAAAGAACGAAATCATTTGAGCAGTCAAGTTGTGAATGATTAAAAGTCTAAGATTTTGTATTGCACGGTCTAATAATAGTCATTAAACGTAAAAGGCAAAGTTGTTAAAAGGAAACCAATTTATTGTTTAGAATTCTTCCATGGAAAAGATATTAGTTCCATTTAGATTTATCGCAGAAGAACTGCCGATTTTTCTTTTTGGGTTTCCAGCCCTTTCAGACTCGCCCTTACAGCTGACCGTGTTCGCAGCTCCCAAGAAGGGCCCAGTCTCTTACTTTCATTTCGGTACGAGGAAGCAGTAGATGATATCATCTTCGTTAACTCAGCATGCTCAACCATGACTCTTGCTCGATGCCCTCCATTTTGTTTGAAATGTCTCGATATACTCGATATTGACACCTGAAACCAAATGTATTTTCTGGATTGTTTTTATATTCTATTCTAAATATAGGAGTCCTAGCTCAGTATGAAAATATACCTGCACTCTTCGCCAATCCTTCGGGACTAAAAGTAAGAACTTTTTTATCATCTGGACTGCAACCGGTTAACAAAGTCACGACTGGTGTTTCCGCGTCGTTAGTCATGCCAATTTTCATTTGTTGCGTGAGATAATGACAGCATTCTATAATTTGGAAAAACACCCATGCTTCTTTGTCTTTCGGCCTCGGACCCTTTATGTACGGTAGTGCTAAACGTTCGTGCGGTCTTTGAGCTCGTAGGAACCTTGAACCGCGTTTTAATTGACCTTCTATCCAGCGTGTTGCTTCTCTTGCTCGACCGCTGATACGTTTAACCTCATCCAACGCTGATACAACTAAAAATGAAACCTCCGTTAACAGATATCCTAAGAAAAAAATATTATTATTTACTCTAACTTTACTGACCAACACTAGGAATCACAATGATGAATTTTTTGGCGTACACTAATCGTTTTAGAGCAGGCGTATGCTTGGATAAAACTTCATGATCAGGTACCAAGTAAGGAGATATTAACTTGGATCTCAAACGACTTTCCAAGGCACAAACCTCTGCTTTCAACCATAACTTGCCCATGTGTCTCATCAACTTTCCTCGTGACTGATCCATTTCCGCTTCCCTGTTACTGTCTTTCATTGCATTGATTGTCTTCAAATCAACAGTTATAAACTGCTGATTTGTTTGGTCGTACTTGACACCTGCATCCTCTACAGAATGAAGAAAGTGTCCAAAGTCAATCAACTTCAATACTCGCACTATAACTTCCTCGCTTTTACTCATTTTATGCTCGTGGAGTATCTTCCAATTGAGCGACTTATGAGATTCGGCCAGGATATTCAATCCTCTCAAGTCTGCATCTTCTGGTAATGGAACTATCTTAACGCACTCTTTCAATTTGTCCACGCTTGACAAAATCATGCTGTCCACTTTAGATATTTTCAATATCGTATTCATGTCGATATTGATTAAATTTAATAAGATCGTAACCCGTTTCAATAAAGTCCGAGAGCTTCTCCCGCATATCTTTACGATGTCCGGATTGCTTCTTAACCAGTCGCAACATATTTTAATGGACGCCAGTATATCCTTCCTCATTAAAATGTTTAGCACCTGATCCGCTCTTAGATTCTGTTTCTTCAGTAGCGCGACGTATATTGCCTTATCTGGGGATGCATTGCCATCTTCGACAGCATTGTTAAAGTTATTCGTATCTTTAAAATTGGTTACAGGATCTTTGCCGCCAGGTTCCTTTTTCGCTTGATCGTTGGAAACATGCTCACCGTTTTCTGCATGATGATTTATTGCATCTGTTGCATTAGTCTTCTCTTCAGATTCTACGTGTCCGTTCATCTCTTTATCTTTTGAGTTGTCTGCGTTTTCTTTCGTTCGCAAAGTCTCTTCGTCGGAACCATCATCGGATAATCCATCATCCGATAAAACGTTTCCTTCGCTTAAAACATCCTCCTCTGTCTCAGAAACATCTGAATTGATCTCATCACTTGAAGACACAGTCACATGATCAGCATCACTCCCATCTGTATCACTGCTGTTTCTTCGTTTTCGTCGCCGAAGTTTAGTCAGCAAACTCTTTGGTTTATCCCGATTTTTTCGAGGACCATTTCTAATATCTCCATTCTTTTCAGTATGTTTTTGTTTGGTCGAACTTTTATTGTCATTTTTGGGAATTAGTTTGTTGTTCCCAGTTGACTTGTGTTGTTTTATTGTTTTAGTTCCTTCTTCAGCAGATTTATTTTTGCTTTCCTTTGGCGTTGATAGATGGTTGGATTGTAGAACTTCTTCTATGTTACACAATGGTGTGTCTATGAGAGATTCTTGCAATCTTGTTATTGCAAGCTGCATCAGTTGAGACATTATCGCTAATGTTATGGCTACAACTCCTTGAACCTCACTAGATTCTTTGCTTTTTAGTCTTGAAATGGACATGAGACATATAGCTACTATTTTAAATATCATGTCGTCCGTTAGATATTTCGTTTGTTCGATTTTGCAACCCTGAAGGTACGCATCGATACTGCTTTTATTTTTATTATAAGTTGTGTCATTTGATTCAGGCTGTTCAGTGCTTAAGCAAGTTTCGATGCTAGTTAGGAGATCCTGCAGCAAAAATGATACATGTAGGAAATTACAAAAAGAATTGAGTAATCTATAATCAGTACTATACGCACCTGACATTCTTCGTTTATTCTGTCGGAATTCGGAAAATCACAATCCCATAACTGTAATAAAGAAAACAATCTCGATACGCACATGTGAATAGGAAAGTTTTTATCGTTGCAAATAGAGTGAGTAACTATGGCTCGTTTCAAATTTCCTTCTGCTCCTTCAAATGGTTCGGTACATAGGACACTGCAAAATAATTAATACTACAATCATCTCAAGTTACAAAACATTTATCTATCTGTAGTAAATGATACTAACCATCTGATGTAATGGTACACAGCGTCAAGACCATAATTTTGATTGCCTGCTATAGTGCCCAATTGGTTATGCGGCATGCCAATGTTTGGTTTGAGTCCTATAGCCATTTTATAATATCTCTTTGCTATCATTGGATCCCAATATGGGTCTAATTCTAATTTGTACCTAGCTAAATCCCCAAGACATACCAAACTCCTATGAATGAGACGGATAACAGACTCCGTCACTTCTTCAGGAACCTTGGGTATTTTGCGTCTTGTCTTAAAACAATGATATGTGGGTTAAATACAGAATTAGAGTTACATAAACGTGTAGGCGAATATGTACATACAGGAGCTGATGCAGATTTATTTTGCAAATATGCAAAATCCATGGCACCAACTTGATTTATACTATATTCTATTTGCAATTTCAATATCAAATGATGGTAAAAACCAACTCCAACTGCCAAATGAACAGATAACAATGCCTTCTCGGTTTCATTCCATATATTGCTCTGTAATTGCAAAATAAAATTACTATAATTTTCTTTACAAATGTAATACAAATTTATACAAAAATAATTACCTTGCGTAATCTTTTAGCGGCACTGACAGCATCATAAAATGCTTTCCTCCATAACAATTCTTCAGTTTTACGTCCATAACCAACAGGATCTTTAGTTAGTAATCTTAGACAATAATCTTTAAGCTTCATCCGTAGTATTTCCCCCGAAGGATTAAATATATCTGTTATCGTTAGTGCATGGTTTTTTTGGCTATCTAATCTTTTAGCAATATCAGTTATACCCCTGTTAATAAAAAATTTTATATTATGACAATCTTAATACGTAATTAATATATTTCTTAAAAGCTAATGTGGATCTCTGAAAACATGACTAAAAAGAAACCTAACCTAAGCTTTAAGACGCGTTTATAATAATTTATCGATCATATCGATGAAAATGTATATGCATCGGAATATGTAGAGGCAAAGGATAAAAATAGACATTGATTAAAGCAAAAGGAACATCTAAAAACGTACTAACACAACAATCGTATTTTTTGCCTGATACATATACATATGCGTTTATTCTCTCTATGTATATACAGATTTCTCATTCATCCAGAATAAATTTCCTTCAAACATTCGATAAGGTAAACTAAAATGCTCAGAAATTACACGATGATAACGCCATTGCTCATTTGATAAATTTCCTTGACGAGACAAAGATTACATGTGAAAGCGCGCCAATAAAAGATCAGAGTGCTGGAATAGTAGAGGTTATGTTCGTACAAGATACGGGTTAAATTCAACCTAATGATATTACGGAACGGACATTTTTACAAATGGAACATGTGAGGCGTAACGCGAATGGAGAAAAGAAGACGCGTTCCTGTTGGAAATATATATTTATATTACTTGTGCAAACGTATCGTTTGGTCGAGATAATCGGCTGCTCCGACATCTGCTGTAGTGTTATATGTTCTCCTCATTTTGCTTCGATCATATTTCACTTCTTGGTTGCGTCGTCATTATTCATTTTCCCGCGGTCTCCTGACACGCGCACCTCCGTCCCACAATAAGGAAATTCGACATTCGCTCTCGCCTGACACCAGAAACCTCTCACGGAACTGCGAATCACTACCAAAGAAGATCTTTGCTCGCTACAGCTCACTACAATAAAATGTACTTGCACAGATACATACTACATATATTAATACCTCGGCCTCGGCACACCGCGGCATACTAAGCGATTCCGGGTGCAAAGCGCACATAAATATGACGGTAGGTAGAGAAACCGCTCTTCTCTGATTGGTTGACGCTTCACAGATGAACAGTGCTGTCCTCCCAGTTTTAGACAAAGAGAGGAAGTGGCGAGTGAGCAAGAGAGCACAACATCAGCACAACCATATGCAAAACAAGTCACACCGACGACCAATGTAGTTTGCCTCACTTTATCATGCTTGTAATCTCACTCTATTCGCGCATCCTTTTGCCTGATTCTCCATCTGAAACACTCGACGAGATATTCGACTTGTACTTTTTCTCCCGTAGGATTCTCGACCACACAGTCCAGACCATTTTATATGATTTTTGCTTTAAACAATTTTTTTGAACATAGCTGATTCTTGCATTCATATTTTCTTAGTAGTAGTAATTACCTAGAAAAAATTCTCGAATTCAGAGATTTTGAGAATTAGAGTCAAGAATTATTGAAGATTGGAACAATTTATTGGCAAAAAAGAGTAAAAAAACTATATAGAACAATTCCAAAACGTCTAGTAGAAATTTTGATTCGCAATCTACAACGAAACTAGGAATAGCAGGAACTTTCATGTTTGCATTAATTTGTGGCTCCGAAAAGGACCGTTATCATTAAATAGAGAAGTCTGTGGAACACAGGAGGTTGTAAAAGTCTAGCATGTCCCAAGGCTCGGACTTTCGCAGGTTTTCGCAGGAATCGTTAATCGTTTTATTGCTGGTCTAGATACTTTCTTCTCCAGAACCATTATTTCATTGCATCGAATACTTTCGTTAGCCACTACAAATACTCTGGTGTGATTTTTTTTACGAAATATATCACAGTTCGATGATTATTATCCACAGAAATATGTAAAAAAAAAAACAGAACATTGAAGTACTAAAAAAATTCAAATATTATTTACGGAAAGAGGGTGCCCCCCGATGCCTGCTTCGGTGTTGTTTACGCATAGCTTCGGTCCTGTCGGACAGAGAGAAGCGAGTAGCGAAGAACATGGCAGCAAAACATCACGTACATGTTGCCGACGAACATTTTCTCGATCTACTCGAAATGTACATCTGGGTAGAGTTTTTGTGCAGGACAAACAACTTTTCGTAAGAGTACAAAAATATTGCGCAAAAACTGCGCACGTCGGCAATTTTTTAAACCTTGACATTAATTTATTGCCAGTTAGGACTAAAAACAATTAATAAATTGCATGCCACTATATTCGGAAAACTCCTCTATCTTTTGAGGCTGATTAGAACTTTCTAACGTTTGTACTCTTCATGCAATACCTCATTTTTGTCGAAAATTTGGGGTCTTTACAAAAAAGCTCGTTTTTTTCGAAAACTGAGGGTGATGGAGCAATTCGGTTTTCGGATCCTTGATGGGGGAGTGAAGCTCTACAAGAATTTCATAATGGCTATAGGAAATCAGAAAAAGAAGGTTAATCTTGTCGGACAGTGTAATTTTCTTCATGAAATAAACATGCGTCTAATAGCAGTTTTTCAATTTGTATAAGTAGGGGAAGAAAAGGTTTCTAGACCAGGAATAAAAGAATTTCCGATACCTACGGAATCTTCATTAGTCCGAGTCCTGGCCATGCTAGACCTTTTCAGCCTCGGGCCCCAAGAGCGGTTTACAAACAATATAAGGGTGGTGATGAGATTTCGCCTGGCTGTGGAAGTATTATGCGAGGTTCAAACTCCAGAATTATAGGCTGCAAAATTCTACTTTACGCCTTTTCCGATCAAACTGCAAAAGCAACAATAAACTCCTGTGTTCCACAGGCTCCCCTACTTAATAATAACGGTCCTTTTCAGGGCCCCAAATTAATGCAAGCAGGAAGGTTTCACTTCAGAAGTGAAAATGTTGATGCCCAAATAAAATACGATTTTTTATGTAACTCGAACAAACAAACATACAGCCATTTCCTTATATTCCTAGCTTCGTTGAAGATTGCGAATCAAAATTTCAACTACACGTTTTGGAATTGTTTCACATAGTTTTTTAATCTTTTTGCCGGTACATAAATCGTCCCAATCTTCAATAATCCTTAACTCTAATTCTCAAAATCTCTGAGTTTGAGAATTTTTTATAGGTAATTTCTAAATTAAATATGTAGTCTTTTTAAGAAAATATGAATGCAAGATTTAGCTATGTTTTTCAAATTTTTAAAAGCAAAAATCGTATAAAATTACGAAATTATTCGTTGCTTTCGAAAATCCTTCTCGTAAAATAGAGCATTGATTTACGGGTTTTCGAAAATTTTAATTATTGTCGCCGTTTCAAGATGTTCGCAAACGCGCTGAACTGTATGGTCGAGAATCCTATGGGGCAGAAAGTACAAGTCAAATATCGCGCCGCGTGTTTCAGGTGGAGTGCCAGGGATACGGATGCGCGAATAGAGTGAGACCGCAAATGCGATAAAGTAAGACGTCCTAGGTTTGTCGTCCGTGTGGACAGACACACATAGAGCCCGCTGGTTTCGTTCCGTCTCTTTCGATTATCTCCCGTTCCGTTTCTAAACCAACTGCGCTGAGCTGGATGCGCATTAAAATGGTGGGGATAAAAGCGCTCGGAAAGAGAAGGTAGAAATCGCTCGCGACGAGGAAGCACTAGCTATATGCACGGAGTTTGCTTCTTGCTCCATGGAGAAATTGTCCAGAAATTTTTACCGACAGTGTTGCCAATGCATTAAAAATACAGCGTGTCCAACGTTGGATATATCTAGAGACAGCATCTGCTACTGCTAAACATGTAGCCAAATTTTAGAAAGAGGTAGACTCCAATTGGCTGGTACCTGTCTCTTATGTTATTAATTATTTCCGTTACGATATCATTGGCAAGAAGAGTTCTCGTAAATATTAAATATCGAAAATCAATCAATTTATTACCGAAGCTCGTCTGTTACAATAATTTCTCGAAACATTCGTGCTCGAAAAATTACTCCATATAACTGATTCTATCGGTTATTTTCACTAACAAATTAAATGGCAAAATAGCCAGTAGTGTGTTTAACAATAATTATAACACACAGAATTGTAAATATTAAGGAGCCATAACGAATACCGGCTTCGTTCTGACTCCCTTTCGGGTCTTTGAAGCAGCAACCTCCTCGTGTTGAGACCTGGGTAACCGGTATCATCCTCGGTTCAGAAAATGTTGCGATTTGCAATGCGTTTTGAGTCGAGGATGATACCGAGCTAATAACTGCAAATTTTACGCTCATTAATAATTATTTTATAGGAATTTATTTGTGTTCCTTATGCTTCTTCTACGTTGGTTCAGGACATAGTTACAAAAGTAAAGCTATGATAGGTGATGTTGAGATCTATCGATACGAGCGTCGCCCTAATATGTCATGAATAATTACTACGATACGCGCCTGAGGTCCGCCAAGCCGAAGGGAGCGAGCGTTGAGTTAAACCAATTTTTTGAATATTTATGCCAATTGATATTTAGGGGCCATGAACGCAACGTGCTATTAGTTCTTTATATATTTGTTTATTGATGAAATTGTCGCCCGTGGAAGGTTGTGCAATTGATTAAATAAAAAGAGCAATTCTTTGGTAGATCATACAGCATGTTTTATGCATTATTTCAGAAATTTCGTGTTATTAGTATATAAGTCTCCAGCCACTTGTAAAAGTCCCTAGTCGTTCCGAAAATGTTTTGTGGAAATTCCTGAAAAACTGCGAAGGAGCAAATAAAAGCAATTACAGATCAACAATGAGCAATTAAACAGCAATCGTTTAAGCCATCGCACATTGAGTTAGAGCAATTTTTTGTGTATTTATGCCAATTGATATTTGGCAGCTATGAATGAAGCTCCTAGTTCCTTTTATATTTGTTTGTTCAAAATTCATTGTTTATTGATAAAATTGTCGTCCGTGGAAGGTGGAGCAATTGGTTAGATGAAAAGAGCAATTCCTTGATAAGTCATACAGCACGTTTTATGCATTACTTCAGAATTCTCGTATTTTTAAAAGTGCCCAGCCTCTCATAAAAATCATTAGACGTCTCAAAAAGTTTTTTGGATATTTCTCGAAAAGAATGAGTTAGCAATTAAAACTAATTGGTGAGCAATTATGAGAAACTAATGAGCAATTTTTTGAGTTATGTTTTATTAATATTGGTAAATATGGTGTGCCAGATTCACACGGGTCTAAGAGAAGATGGTGCAAATAAATCACCATATGCTTTGATACATACACTCCACCTACCTCAATCTGGGTCCACCGCAGAGGACTACACTCTACCGTTTTACCTTGTTTCCTGTTTCATCCCACGTGTGTGTTTCGATCTGTAAATAAACATCATATAAAAGTAGAAACAGTTCAACTGTAATATACGTATAACAGCAAGTTATATCCTCAATACGTTTATAGAAATTGATTGAATTGAATGTAAAAACGTATATTCAAATCATTGCTATATTTACACTAAACAGTGTGGGGTTAGGTACTCATTTTGGGTGATGTACTACAATATTTAGGAAAATATCTGGTGGATATAGCCTTTAAAAACCTGCAATTTAAGGTTATATTTGTAAATTCATTCGGCATTGCACATTTATTAATGTTTTAAAGTTATAGTGGTTTAAGGTTATACAGTCGAGTCCTGGTAATGCATATTAATTCTCTTAAGTTTGGTTCTCATGGACTACTTATCGTATAGTTAATTTTGTTTATATAAAAGTGATAGTGAGTTTATATAAAAGTTAAAGTTTATAAAAGTGATTCAATTTGTAATAGAATGTCATTTCTCTTGTTAGTAATTTTATAAAATTTCAACATAACAATCTAAATTAATATATAATTTTTTATATTATTTTATATTATTTCTTTATTTTTATATTATCTTATATTACTTTAAGGAATTGTTTAAATTATTTTGTATTTATATTTATATATATTTCTAGGTTTTATAAGTATAAAATAAGAAAATGGCAAAGTCGTTGCGCAGTAAATGGAAGAGGAAATGTAGAGCAGTTAAAAGAGAACGTTATGGAGCAAAAGAATTAGATAGATTAAAAAAAACATTAGGCATCACAGAAAATGGTTCACAAGATACCGAAATGGGGGATATATTAGAAATTGCCACAGGTAAGATATGTCAAGGACATTCTTGCATGTGATTTTTTATTCTTTATAATTTAATTAATGTATATGTTTTTTTTTTTAGTCGTCGATGCAAAGTCTTTAAAAGACAATGCAAAGACAAAAGATACGGAAGAAGGTGATGTGGATAAAATGGATGTGGACAAAGAAGTCAAGGTATATAACAAAAAAACAATGCTTGACCAACATGGAAATTACCCAGTATGGTTGAATAGGAGAAAAATTGCCAAGTTGAAGAAGGGCAGAGCGAAAGCAGAGAAAGGTGGTAGGAAATCAAAGAAAAGGCTAACTAGGAGACAGAAGAAAGCAATGAAACAGAAATAACTTTTGTACAGAATTAATATCATTAATTGACGCCTTTTTATTTGACTTCACATGTAAAGTATAAAAATAAATGTTGTTATAATAAATCGAAGATCTTATGTATTATTCTTAAAATATGTCAATAAGAATAACCGGAATCTGTTTGTTGATTTATCATGAAACTTGTTCCATGATAGATTTAATGTATCAGTATAAAAGCTACACATATGGCAGTGATAATATCCATTCTTACAAAAAATTTTATACATAAATATTAAATTTGCGCACAACGTCTTATCCTTTTTTATAGTCATATTTGTTACAGCGATATCAAAAATGTAACGTGCCACTGTTCATGGGTAATGCATTTCTGCAACGTAGTCTCAAACGATTTTCCAGTTCCATTACTCGATTGGTCAAGTGCTGCATTTTCCTTGTTTCCAACTCATATTCCCGTAATTTAGTCCTCATCTCGTATATTTCTTGTTGCATCAATTGCTGAAAACACAGTTCCATTAGGAAATTAATAATATCAAATATTTTCATCAGGTCCTATTTAATTTGAATACGTGGAGTACTTACTACGTTTTCTACAGTTCTCTTCATCTCATTAATGTTCTCCATAACAGATGCAACCTTAACACTCATGTCAGTGGTTTCGGTGTCCCTCTTTTTTCCTTTCGCGAATAGCTAAGTAATAATAAAACTGTTTTTATATTTAGTTGATTAATTACAAAAGCAATATAGCCTTATATTTAATAACCGAGTTCAAAATGAGCTGGTTACGATACGTTAAATTCAGCATGGTATAACTGCATCTTTTAATACCAATATTGTGTTTTGATAACCAGTAGATCATTGTTGTAGATATTAATTATTAATATATTAAAATATTATGAATTTATGAAATTATTAATTTAATACAAAATCATGTTTCAACATTATCTAGAAAGTCCGAGACATCTCTATTATCGTGGCAAATTTTTTGAACATTTTTGAATTTATTTTGAAAATTCAAGATTTTGCACAAAATCTAATTTACAGTACGTAATAAATCAGACTTTTTCGAAACCTTGGAAAAAACTACAATTTTGAAAACTTGGAGATTTTTATTCGATCATTTAACGAAATAAAATGTCCGAGGAAATTGGTGCGTCGGAAACGTTTTAACCATATTTAAATTTTTATAACGTTACAAAACAAAAAAACCATTGCATTTTATACAGACTGCGAAATCATTCGAGGCAAGCAACATAGCTTTCAGTGTTAAAGCAACAAAAATGTTAAAAATAGAAGATCTACCTGTTTTTTAATTAAATATTGTGTAATTTAAGTTAAAGATTCATATTCATTGTATAAAATTCCATAAGATTCGCCCAGCGTATATCGAAACATTTAAAGGAGCAGAATTCTTTGGACTGTGGTATATTCAGTATTTAATTTATATTCAAACATAAAGTAACTGCAGTAAGAAAAAAATGTTGAAGTTCTGCTTTATTCGCGTTCCTAGAAGGGTTTAAAGCAGCAAGACATATCTTTACGAGTCAAATAATGCATACAGAACGCCATTGTCCAGCATACCTTTTCGAGTTTCGTGAGCCTTTTCAGGATAATCTCGTAGTCCTGATCGAGGTCACCGTCAGCCACCTCGTTCTCCGTATCTGTAAAGGGAACTATTTAATACTACCGTGTGAGAATATATTACTACGGCGGACTTCTTGGGACGTCTTCGAGTTTCGAAATACACGTAGCACATATGCAGCTCGAATGACATGACTCGAAAAACGAAATTTTCGAACTATCATTATGAAAATGTTGCGGAAATGCTTCTGAACTAATGGTGGAAATTTTATGAAATTATCTTTATAATTTGCATGATATAGAACGCTTATATTTAGACTACGGATGTTATGCATTTATGGCAAACATGTGTGAATCAAATGGAAAATAGTAGGAACGTCTAAAGTATTTTCAAATATTTTTGTACTCTGTTAAACTTGTTAAAATTAATAAGAACAAAAGTAAATTGTTACATAACTGCAGTATTTTGCAATCGATGCAAATAAATTTTATTTTGTATAAAAATCCGTAGTCTATTCTATACTATTAACGTGAAATTTTATAAACTGAAACACAATTAGAAAGTTAAAATTTGTTATAGTAGATGGAATTTTAATTCTTTTGCATCCTAAATATCCTGGTAAAATTCAAGTTGTTCGAATATATTACAATAAAAATGAATTTTGAAAACTAGTAAAAAAATTGGTGTTTTTCATAAAGTTGCATAAGTGCAAAGAACGACAGTTTTTCGGTTACAATTTCGAAACTGTACTATGATTCCGAACACATGCGTGTACTGTTCATAAACTATTAGATCAACAAAATAATATTTAATTACGTTGAAAAACAGTCTTTCAATTTTCTTATAAAATATATTTTTCCGCGTTGCATCGCTTTCGTCGCAACTATAAGATAGACAAAAACGCTCAGACAGAAAAAACGTATCTACGAACCGTGCGGAGAACTCGACGGACGTTTCGTTGTCGTCACTTCATGGAAGTCTTCTTCTAGATCCCGTGCCTCGAACGCGCTGTCATCGGTGTCTGAAAAAAATAGACATTTCTCCAAATGAGAATTAAAAACGTCTTTTAGACGATTTCTTTCAGCAAAAGATTGTCAAGCTTAAATTCAGCCTCCTACCGGAAAAAGATACTGTAGATAAAATTTATTTCGCGTTTTCTCAGCCTTTTCTCGATAGTTATTTTTAAAATCCACGGGAACTATTTTTACTTTATTATACTCTGTTCAAATTAATTTATACGTAATTGTACTCAATTCGTATTAATTTATACTAAATTATATCCGATTCAAATTAATATATACTTAAATATATTTAAATCTATTTTTATATATTATAATATATACTTAAATCTACTTATACTTATTATAATGTATTTACGTTAACCGATATTCATTTATATTTATTTATATCTAACTCGATCGATCAGTTTTCATTGTTCATGGCATCAAAATTGTAATGTAAAGAATTTGTTCATATACATAATTTTTTTTGTTAATATACATGAATTTTTCACGATATATCAATCACGATACAATAAACGGACGCTACCGAATCCTGGATTAATTACCGTAATTACACAATGATCAAATAGCTTAGAAACTGGTTACTTCACCGACCAATGTTCCGAAAATCAATAACTCTTTCTTCAACTATTTTATAGGAATGAAACCTACGCGAACCGCGCCGGAGGTGAAGGTCAAGATCAACAATGGCAGCTAAACACAGTTTGTTTGTCCAGCGGAAATATCGTGGGCGAATCAACTCCCGTGGGATCGTACACAAAAGTCGCGATACTGGAAAATGGAGGCCAATTCAAGCGGTTGTCCGTTGACATTGAAATATACAGGTTTACGCGAGTAACGTTAAAGGTGCTGAGGTACCGAACCCAGCGTTGCTATGAGTAATTCGCGACATTGTTAGCCGCTTGCTAGGATAACTCGGAAACACATTGTTCGTTACCAAGTTAAGGGGTGACGCCACCCTTAACGGTTATCTTAAAACTTCTTTTATGTTTTTCTCAAAACTACATTTTTCAACGGATTGTCACGAAATCTTCGAAACTATACATACATCTGATTTACTTCAAATATGGGGATTGTATTCTGCATAGAGTATTCTACAATGTAGCTTACGTTTTTCTTTGATATGTCGATTATTTAATTTTTTATAAAGCATTTAGTGTTGATTTTTGGGACGAATACAGGCGGTGTTATTTTTTCAAACTGCGGCCGTTTCTTCAATTATTATAATGTTCGAAAAACCGCGATCTACGTTTTAACACTAAACCAACCAAGCCGGTCAGAATGACCGGCTTTACATCTTGTATTTTAAAATTGCTGAAATTATGGAGACTTTTTCATAGGAAATTATTAAATGAATTTCATAGTCCGAGTATTCGTTGTAATAAAAATTATGAGAAGTCTAAATAGATTCGGTTTTATCGTTCTTACAGAGCAACAGAAATTCGTCGCTTTTAGTGCTCGGTAGGTTTACTGTTAATTCATATGTCTCAGTGCTTGCCAACTGTTTGAAGTTACGAATTTTACTTTCTAAAAAATTGAAAGGATACAAAGCTGGAACTTCCATTTACATCCTCTTGGAAAGACTAAATCTTATATAATATTAATATAATATATATATTAATTAATATTAATAATAATATAATATTAATCTTAATTAATATAATATATACATTAATTAATATTAATCTTAATTAATATAATATATACATTAATTAATATTAATAATAATATAGTATTAATCTTATATAATATAAATATTAATTTAGTAATAAGTACCTTAAGTACCTTTTGAAAGAAGATTTCCGATCTTTACCTATCTCTGAACACCTCAGGGTGGTGTCTCTCTTTAGAGGACTTTCAATTTCGACTCACCGTTCTTCCGACAAGATTGACCATCTTTCTGAAGCTGAAAACCAGGCCTACAGTGGCACTCGTAGCTGCCAGGTAGGTTTCTGCAGAGTTGGTCGCAGGCCTTCTCCGTCACGCACTCGTCGATGTCTGAAACATCGTTGGACAAGTTATGTTAATCCGTTGCAAATTAATTGCACAAACGTCGCAGCTGCGACCGCGATACATCGCGAAATCCTTCGGTTTCCGGGCACCGGTGTTGCGCAAACAGAAGTCAACGTGATTTCCGTTGAACCAGTGAATTTCTCGAGGCAGACCCGAGGATTTCAATGAATAAATTATGGAAATTTAAATTAGTTACTAGGCTGATCTCTGTTCGAGAAAACGCGCGGAGGGTGGGGGGAGGAGGTCGCTGTTATCGTTCGTGCCAACTCGTTTCTCCGTTTACGCAGAAGATATTAAGAAAAGCATTAAAACTTGTTCACGGATAATAAGATCAAGGTTTAATTGCTATGCGCCGGGTGCAGACAAACGCTTAAGCGCAAGTGAAAAATCGGATTCTTTCAAATGTATTTATTGCTTGCTGCTTTTGCGCGCAGGGTTATTCGTGCGATTTTAATAAATCACGTAACTTTTCTCGTTGGAAAGATAATGTTACGGGTAAAAGATAATTGGTTTCAAGATGGACTACACGCGATCATATTTTTCTTAGAAGTAGAAAGTTATTTGCGCTATTATGTGGAACTAAATTAATTCTCTCTTGAATAAGCTTTAAATAAAACGTAATTCGTGTAAAAATGTTCAAGCGACTGGTGCTTTTGTTGGTTAAAACATTCTTTTTGTTTCTTTGTCCTATTTCTGAGGCACGAAATTATTTGTGCAAACATAAAAATGTTTGTCCTAGTAGATTCGATAGGTCCTGTGAAATGCAAAAATGTTGAAAGACTGCTTACCACGTTTGACAGTGTAAGTTCGTTCGTAAGTTTGTTCAGTCGCTATATACAATCTAAATTTCCGAATCAAAGATCATTTAAATAGACCGTGCATAGTACTAAGGATCATTGAATTTACCCTAACGTCAGCTATAATACGTAATATTATGTATTCAAAAGGACATTGTGCCATTCAAATCCGCTAAACCCACATGCGGGATAGATTACTTTCAGCTCGTAATTAGAACGTTCTCAAAGCATAATAAAAACGCTCATAAATCTATCGAAAGCCGTCCACCGGTGGACATCACAATACGCCCAGGCTGTTCAGTATTCGTGCAATGCTATCGGGCCGCGTATCGGCTTGCATCGAGTTAATTATGCCTAACGATCCCGGGGATAGTGGGACGTGTTCCTGTTCTGAATATATCGATCACTAATGTTTTAAGATTTCAATGGGCACCATTTGTCCATTCGAGGATTAACTTCAAACGCTATCGCGAGCGTGTCGAGAGTGTTTGAAGTTAAAAAACTATCCGCTTGATAATCGATTCACTGAAACTTAATCGAAGACATCGTCGTTGATACTGTTGTAGTACAATTTCAATTTTTTAAACAGTTAACGATAATAGAAATAGATTTACATGAACGATTGCTCGTCGATTTCGATGAACTTGGAATCCATCGTTACCGTTGAACGTTTTGTGTTTCTTACAAGTAATGCAATGTAAAGGACTTGCCTACACATTGACGTATAATTTATCTCTTTTCTAGTAGTATATAGAATAAAATTAGTAGATCAATGAAAACTAGATTTAAATAACATCCTTATTTTCTCTTCTTGCAACGAGTAATCTTTTAGTCGACAAAGACAACTTATCTTCAATTGTAAGTTTTTGTAAAATGACGTATAAAAATGCTAATAAATTGCATAAATATTCGTAGTTTAGTGAATAAGCTGCTTTCCGAGAAAGGAATTCTTCTACTATTTTATTCTGATTCCTGAATGCGCGTATAGTATTTCACGGGAAGTAATGATATACTCGAAACGGGATAGCGGATAAGCGGTATGTTGGGGGTTAAGCTTTCAGTGTTCTTGTAATGTTATTGTCTATGTAAATATTCAATTAGCATTTGAAGCGAGAATTTAGAATCGATTTGCATTCGTGCATGACATTACCTGTCTGGCACTGGTTGCCAGTAAATCCTTTGGGACATGTGCATCTGCCGGGGGCAGTGCATATTCCTCCATTTAAGCAGGACGCTGGGCAGGTAGCTGAAAGGTAATCAAGCAGAGATATCGTTTAAGTAACTTCATAAACATTAATGTCATTAACACGTTCAGCGTTGCACGAGTTTCATGCATTTCACATAAGAACCATTCGTCTTCCTGGAGGAGCTGAGCGTTGTTAATTAATAGTTATTAATTACTAAGTGGTCTAGCTTCGAGTGTTCATTATTTTCTAGTTATTAATTGCAGTAATAATGAATCTGTATTAGTCAATGTTCGCTTTACTGCGACCATTACTGTTGTGTACAAGCTAATAGCGCTCGCCAGGTGTTAATAATTTTTCTTTTCAATAATAACCTGAGAAGTATAATCGTTAAATAATCTTTATTTGTTTGATGTTGCTATATTGAAAAACTGAATGTGAATCGTTGATTTTTACGAGATTATTATACAGCAGCCACCGGTAAATAAATTCAAATTCCCGTTATATCGAAGTCTTTGACACATAATCTAGATCTTGCACGAAGATGTTCTTAGTACTTTAAAAAATCCTCGTCTACAAAGGGTTAATAAGCAATAACGTATAAAGAAAGTGAAAAATTGATCTGGTTTACATCTGTGATTTTGTGACAGTATATCATTGTTACAGTGGTCTTGAGCGAATATTGTTAATACGTATGTACTAATTCTAAATATTAATATATATATTTTGACTGAAATTATATGTTTTTGACTAAAACTTACGTTTGTTACATCCGAAACTCAACTGAGTCGCCTGAGTCCACCCTGGACAGCACACGAAACTGGCAGCCGTGTCAGTTTGAATATGAATATAATTATAGTACCTAAAAATGTTTCTTGTAAATTCTGAATTGCACGACGTGAAATACAACGATGAGCATACTTTTTGTGAACACTCTTCGAAGCAATTGTTTCAATAACATTAATTGATTAAAATAGTATTTTAATGTATACAATTATTAAGTACGACATTGATAAATGGTAATTTAAACATATCAAATCAAATGGATTCTTTATAAAGAAAAAGAATCTTATTTGAAGTAATATTTACAATATTTAAATATTAATATAGTAACAAAAGATTTTCACATTTAATTTTTTAACTATAAGAAAACCCAAATTTTCCTAACAGGCGTAATTTCCAAAATGGCTTCATGCTGTATCTAATAAAGAATTTTTGCTTCCACTAATTATTTCGTGCTTTAATAGAACAAATAGTTAACATTTATTCCAGTTATGTAAGCTTTCGTACGTATTAAATAGAATTTTAATATAAGGTGAAGTGTTAACATGAATTTTGCAATTAATGTAATTTTACGCGTTATCAGACGCATAAGTATGTATATTCAATGTTTGTACATGGATTTCGAGAGTATATTTTCCAACGAATTAGTTTTACCTTAGTTGCCTATTCTGGCGATGTTGAAGGGACGACGAACTAGGAACTGATCTGGTGCAAACTCGCCTTCTGTAACGCAAGTTTTAGATACAATATATTAATAATTATTCATAGTTTCAAATATTTGCGGTCTAATGCAATAGTTTATTTACTTTGTTCTTAGAAGCATATACATTCGTATTTTATTCATAAGGGATAACAATAATGATTCTAACTAGCTTAATTAGTAAGTGTGGTAAAATCATAATTATAAGGAATTTAATGCGAAATCGATGGATATTCAAAATATTTATACAACATATTAAGATATCAATATATCGAAAATATATAAAAGTGTCTTATTATATTATCGATGTTATCGTCAAAGTGTTATTATTATTTAAAAGTGCCCGATTATTTCTAATACTTGACCGCACTTAGTATATAATCAAGATTAATAGAATAATATGAAATAATGAAATGAATGGAAATGGGAATCGTCGAGTGAGCTTTGATTGAATAAATGTACGCATAATAGCCTTTGAAAGCGGCAGCATTGTTCTCTCGTGAAAAACACGGATCGGTGATTTCCGATTATTTTCAAGTGCCGACGGATTATCTAACTATAAGTATCTCTCAGTGTAATTGATTTCTTGCCGCACATTTCTGCCGTTTGTATCGTAATTAAATGTTATCATTATTTGATTGTCAGAGTTGTTACAAAAGTTGTTTCAGAAACAAGTTATGATTCTTGTTCAGACGATTAATTATAATCTATACTATATCAAAGTCCATAAATTATGCGTTTTAAACAAAAAAATCTTACACCAAGTTTTCAGAAATCGTTGTAAAGGGGAAGCATTCGATCTTCGGATCTATGATCGATTCATTTTTCACCTGCTACATTACGACCAATTGCCAAACTACTAAGCATACGAATCGTCAAAGGTAAATTGTCATTTATTCATTTATTTATTTATTAATGCTTTAAATTAGATGGTTTATTTAGCAAGTACAACATTGTTACACGTCAAAATTCTTAACGAATATCGTCCAATTAATGACTTATTCTTAGTCCTTCTATATCGGGATATTGTTGCACGATTCGTTTTTACAATGCTACAACAGATAACCCATAAGAGCCACATTGCTTAACTTATGGAATTTAAAAAAAAATTTGAGACGCCATGATCTTAATATGATTTACGATATGAATATAATGTGAGTACCAATAATATCATTTAAATGGCATTCGTACAATACAAACGTAAAAATAATATAAAAAGTGGATACTTTTTCTATTATACTCTTTCTGTTTAGTCATCGTTGAAAGGATTTAAATATCATCAATTTCACGAAAATCAGAGTGTAGAGAGAGACTTTCTAAAGGTAGCTCGTACGAATAGGTCGTCGGTTTCAATTCTATCTAGACGGATAACGCGAAAGCGTTGCTTTATCGCGACGGGATCGAAATAAAAAGATGCTGGCAACGAATTAACGATGCGCCGCCGACGTCCGCGATCGCCGTGATCGTGATCGTGATCGTGATCGCTCCTTTCTCGCGGCGAACGAACGAGGATCTCGCGTAGGAATCGCGCGAACAGGAGAAAACGAGCGATCATTGTGCGCGGACGCGCGAGGACCGTACAGTAATTGGGCGTCGAGTAGCAATCTTGCACGGCAGATCCACTTCGTCATCGTTGGCCCGCGAGGAAATTGCATCTCGCCGTGTCTCCGTCATGTTCGTTGAAACGCGACACGACATTTACTGTCGCAACAACGAACCCTGACAACGTGTCTCGTATCGCGGGACCGTTCGCTTTTCTTGTTACCGCGCCATGCCGTTCCGTTCCGTTTCGTTCGCGGCCGAGAGGTGCCAGGAACGCGAAACGACCGGCGAACAAAGGAGCCGATCCCGGACCAATTAAACTTATCCCGTGGCCGACGGTTGCACAATTAAAATGCCTCTGGCAAAACTGCCCCCCTGCTGCGAACGATCCTAATGCCAACAGCGCGTTACACCAGCCCGGTTACGTTTATAACAAATAACAACGGGTTTAGAAAGTATTGGTCCGACGATCTGTTCTAAACAATGCGAGATTAATTATTGAGCTGGGTTGCTTGCGATATTAACAAGAAGCAACAGAAAATTGTGAGAAATGTGCCACTTGTGAGTTGTATGCAGGTGCGAGTCATTTCACTGTTTCACGTTAATTTTTCTTGTAAACCACGCGTTGTGTAAGAAAAAGGTTTCGAACGAAAGTTGTTTGGTGTAAAGAGGAGCATACGTGGCAACAATTAATTCCACGTTCCTTTTTGATCGAGACACGAAGGTCGCTTGACAAAATATGAAAAAGCTTATACATGTCGCTCGCACTCCTTCATCGTCTGTATGCTTGTAATGGACAACACTTGGGACGTTTTTTGCATTAATAATCAAATAAAGAATATCTCGATGAATATTAATTATATATATTATATTATATTTTTAAATAATGTGTATATAGCTAAT